GCGCTATCTCTTATCTCATCTATAGATAGGCCTGGGTAGCCTCACCGCAGCATGAAGTGCAGTAATGGACAACACTTTTGGAGCCTGATTGCCCGACAACCGGGCAAGCGATGCATGTGTGGTGGTGAATGCTCCAAATTGGTTTTGCTGTGTGCAGAATCTTGCCTTTGTTTGTTAACATCTCATTTCTAGACCAACTTTAGCTCAGAGTGCAATCGTCATGTCAAAACGATGAGCGGCGAATGTCGATAATAGCGACCAGGAGTGCGGCCGCAACGTTCGGTCGGAAGAGCGGAGAGCTTTATCAGAAGCCCTTTTTCCACCTGTCAAACACACAGGAGGGATTTGGCTTGACCGTATACTGAATATCTAAATTGAAAAACGGGTGCTGCGGTGATGCAAAGATCAGACCACCATCTGTTCCGGGGAAGCGATAGAAAACGCATGCGTATAATTCCACTCTGTGCAGAAATAATTAGGCCATTTATATTCCACACGCCATGATTTAAGAGAAGAGCACGGGGAAAAGTCAATATCAGGACTATATGGGCGGCGGCATTTCAGCCATCAGCTTGTCCGTGTCACTTTGCTATTATGATTTATGGATGGCCTTGCTACACAACTTGACGAGGTAGCCCCACCTAATATGAACCGCATCCTGCCATTAATCCTCCACCGATAACCTCAGCGTGCAATGAAACGCCACCGTAAATCACACGCCGCCATGACACCTGGCCTGAAACGTCAGATGCGTTGAACACCCTTCCGCTCCCATTCTCCCAAAGGCAAACAATATAAGGAACGGTGCGAGTGCGAACGTTGCGTGTGGGCTTGTGCGGACAAAAACAAGCGATTCTTCTAAATGAGTTTTTTCGATAGGAATCGATACCAAAGTGCAAGGAAATGACGCGTAGCCATGACTTTTACCATTGAGCTCAATTGGTCACAGGCACGAAAAACAAACATTCACTCTTCAGTCGTTCAGTGTAGCTAAACAAATGTTCTTTGGGGTCACATCTACATGAAAATTGGTTGTACGATACTTTATAGAATTGTACAGTAGACACAATAATGAAAGCCAGAAGAGAGAGGTGGAAAAGTGTGTCTTGTAGGGCTGCAAAGAAAAATGCGGAATCATTCTCGAGCTCTGTTCACACTTCAGCGGCTTTGGTTCAACACATGATCACTAGTCTGATGGCGTTATTCGTTTGGTCAAGTGTAAACGCTGCCATTCCAGTCCAAGTGTACACCAAACACGCTGACCAAGATCACTTCAAGAGGTGGTCTTGGTCAGTTTACAAGTAAAGTCCGGTGCAGTTTGTTTCACTTCAACTCAAGTGTGAGCACACAGCGTTCACACTTCAGCTGAAATGATCTGCTCTTTGTGTCAAAGTAAGCTCGTGGTCGAAATCAATGAGGTTTTTGGTGGACAGAATAACGGTTCTTAAAAAGTGCACAAAAAGAGCATTAACACCTTAGAAGTGCTTTAAAATATTTGCCGCTCCATCACATGTTCCTCATGCGATATTGTGTATCGGAAGATTTGCTGCAAAGGGCTACAGTAAAAAGTTGACCGGACAGCATGGCTTGCCATAGTAGAGCGACTGAAGGCCAAATGTAAGACGATTGCACCCCTGAAGGAGAAGATGCCACATCCACATAGACACACTTGTACACTTCCATATTTTATGCGTTTGACCTTCCCGAAGCTCAGGGCTAACCTCTTTTACCGCTTTGCTATTCTGTCTATGCTATTCTCCTCTCGTCCCCTCTTTCCAATTTCCGCCAATATCATGACAACATTTCCACCAGAGGTGTTTCAACTGTAATTTGTTCCGTCCGTCAAACAGAAATGTGAGGGCAGAAGGCCCAGCGGGCATCAGCCACCTTGCTACCTCAACCACCAACACTTACGCTTGCATAATGACTGGCACTGAGAAAAACCGAGGGGGCCGGAAACGCTGGAAAGCTATATTGGGAAAGCCAGGAGAGGATATGTGGGAGACGAGCTCACAGGGATGTTGCGACCAAAAAAAAAAAAAATAGAAGATTTACATTAATCATGAAGGCACCTTGAGAAGGCAACCCCCACATAGGCACAAAAAGGCAGGCTCGCAAGAAGCAGTCAAAGTCATCTCATATACAAGTCTGATGTTGCTCGCGGGCTTTCGAGAGGAAGGGCTTTGGCTTCCTGTCCAGGCAGCCCAGCAGACTTCCCATGGAACGGCCCAAGGCATGCAAGAGGACAACAGACCTGATCGGCTCCTCTGCGAGCCGCTTCCTCACACAAGATCACAGAGTGCCCAAGGTTGCCCGATACCTTCCATGGCTTGTTTAAACCAGTTAAGCTTTGTAACCTTAACTGACAAGATGTCACATTCACATTTGAGACGGCTTCGCACCTCGGCATGCTACAAGGCTGCGCTTGACAGTGACATAACAGCTATCACGTCACACCTTTGCGCCTTCGCTGTGAACGAACCGCCTTGGCGGGACCAGCGTTGAAACCAATTACACAAGGGGCCACGTAAAAGGAGGAAAATGCTAATTGAACGATAAAAGACCCTCATGCGGGTCATGCAATAGCGTGACTGGTCGCGCTTTGTTGCAGAAAGACTGGAAGAGCTCTGCCGTGAGGTGATAAAGAAAAGAGGGTGTGTGTGGGGGGGGCAACCCATGCTTTTAATAGCCTGGGAAATCTTCACACATCGCAGAGGTACACATCTGCACTAGCCCACTGTATGTTAACTGCATTTTGCTCTTTTTCTCCTTGCACCTTCCTGGGCCTTCCTTCTTTAACCTACTTATTTATTTATCATGTTCCCCAAGGAGCAACACCAGTATCAGCACTTAGGATCTCATCAGTTACAAGAAGACAGGTCTCACACACACACACACACACACACACACACACACACACACACACACACACACACACACACACACATGACCGTCTACAGAAAAGTGGAAAGACATTTTTTTTAAAGAGCCGTGACAGCGCAGAACGAATGTCACATCCGAAGCGATGCAATTTGCACAACTGCATATTTGAATCGAATTTTGAGTCTCTTCTGGGGAACTAACGAAAGGATTGGTCAATAGGGGAAAAAAAAAACAAAAAACAGATCAATAAATAAACAGCACCAAACGCAAATCAACCAATTTGAAAGGAATGGTTGCAAATTGCAATGGTCAATGCCCGCATCATTAGATGAGAGTTGAAGCATTGCTTTTGCAGATATGGCCATGACAAAACATCTGCATGCCAAACGGTATCAGTCCACTAGTCATGTTTGTGTGCTCCCTCAATTTGTCCTCTTTGTCATTCAGGAATCCAGAATGTCCTTGTTTGTCACACCCTCCCCTCTTGTATGCCCTCCACTGAAGAGAAGCGATAAGCAGACACGTACCGGCGAGCAGTTGGGAGGTCAAGTCCCTCACCGACTGATCCCTGATGAGAATGATTCTCGAGGGGAGCTTTGTTTGTATGTGTTGAAGTTTCATTGCTGTGCAATGAAACTAAACAAATCCCATTAAGAAAACAGCTGACCAGTCGCTAGCGCAGCAAATAGCAAGGCATCTGCAAGCCACAGTGTAGTGGCACATTCTAGAAAAAAAATCATTTAAAATCCAAACACGTTAATGAAACAACAGAAGCAATTTTGAGTTTTTTTTTCTCTTCCTCAAATATTTTGGCTCTCTTACAAAAAAAAAAAAAAAAAGAATCAAACGATGTATTGTTCTGAGTAGACTGCAGTTTAGAACTGCAGCTACCGGTAACTCCAACCACACAATTCCTCACTGGCAGAGTCGCGACTGAGCATTATCATCTTTGCAAGGGCAGATCATTTGGTATCGCTCTTGTATTTGATCTCATTAGCTTGTACAAGTGTCCTTAATGATGTGGGTGGTGATTTACAGCAGGATGAAATGAACATGTTATAAATTTTACAAATTGGAAGACAGTATATATATATTTTTTTAGGTTTTTCATTGAAATGAGCCATATATTTGGCATTACAGTTTACGCGATGGCAAACTCTGTGGCCTAACATCAGCTAGAAAATCCTGCTCATGTAAACATAAAGGGGAAATCTGTTGAATGAACAGAGGTTGCAAAAGTGCTCGCAGACGTGTGAGTAGAAGTACAGATAGATGCTTAAAGAAGACTGGTAAAAGTATAAATACGGATTCAACTCCATCAGTAAAAAAAAAGTACAGAGTCATAAAAGGTACATAGTACAGTGTTTTATCCGATTAGACAGATTATTAGATTTTTAGCTTGACAAAGTATTCACCCCAAATCATTCTCGGAGCCGACAACATCAAACGATTCTCGTCGATAAGGCCATGAATGGGGAATGTTTTTCTTATCAAATGTGTTATGCCTTTGTCATCAGTGCTCCCTGGTTCCTGGTACTTCATGGTGCTGCTGTACCTGTTTTATTTTTCTACCTGGTAAGTCTCTGAAAACCCAATCAAGATGTCAACCTCGGTTGACATGACTGCTCAAGAATAAAAAGTACAAAAGTAAATACCCAAATTAAGTGCAGATGGCTGAAAAATACGACCTTAAAGTTATGTAGTATTTAGGTACAGTGGCCACCAATATTGAGAAGTTTTTGTTTTTTTTTGTTGTCAGTTCACAACATTCATGCTTCAAGATACTGTGGGTATAGAATAGAGATCATGTTGTGTTAAGTTCTGGATCACAAACAAGGAAAAAAATAGACATGTATGTTTGATTATTTGTAATATACGGTAGCAGCTTTTGAAATAAATGAATAACATGCGGGCTGGATACATTTGGGAAAATGTTCAACTTGTGAACGTGTGCGTTTGATTGACATTTATTGACAGGCTGCGCACACAGTTGGGCGCGCGCACATGCGAACACACACACACACACACACACACACACACACACACACACACACACACACTCACACACTGACAGACGCGCGCACACCGGGGAGGAGAGAAAGGCGAGGAGAGGGGAGGAGGCGGGTGGGGTGTGGGTGAGCTATCGAGAATACAGAGCGCCAGAGCACCACGGCTCTTCCTCCCCAGCAGGCTCCGGTCCAGCCTGTGTGGTCCTTCGGGCTCGGGTGTGCTCTCTTCCGCTGTTGCTAAGGAGATGGACGTCTCGAACGGAGCTGCGATCCGGGCTGAATTGTCCACATCGTCCCCTCCTCAACAACCGGCCGTCGTTCAGCGTGCAACGCGTGTATGTGTGTTTACCGGAATCATCGTGAACAACGTGACGCGTCAGTGGCAGCTCTGCAGCAGCAGCAGCCAGGGTAAGACCGATCGTTTGACTGGGACGTAAAAAAACGAGAGAAGGCGACCACTTCCCCATTAGAGACAAGATAATTGATCTAATTTAATTTAACAAATATTTCTTCTGGAATGAGTGGACTGAGAAAGTTTGCTGTCACTTGTTTATTTACAGTTACATGACTTAAGCTTATGTCATGTTTGTTTGTTTGTTTTGTTTTTTGCTGACTTGTCCAGAAAAGCACTAAAATCTCAGGAAGGTAAGGTAAAGGCACTGCAGCTTTCCGTCTACATAACCATTGAGCAATGCAAATAGCACAAAGTCATTTTTCCCTCTCCGCTATCAGCACTGTGGAAGTCACAGGAGAGGACATGGAAAACGCACACATGCACAATACGTCCCTTTATTTTTGCTTACCTAGTGTCAGGCACAGTCAGCTCTTATTGCTTCTCCTTTGTTTCCAGCCAGTAATGTGCATCAGTGTTGAGCTGACTGAGGGGAGAGGGGAGGCAGTGCGAGGCAGCCACTCTGTCCCTTTTCTCATTTGTGTCTCCCTCCTCCAGACCAGTGGAGCTGCAGCCGAGGAGCTGAAGAGGCACGGGTTTGACTGGCAGCCGCTCGGCGTCCAAGACAGCGGAGAGACACGGGGGATTTCGGCGAATGCTACCTAGCCAAGACGTCGGCTTCGGCTTGACAAGGGAGCATGGCGTCCACAGGCATGCAGATTTTTGGATTTGTGCTGGCGCTGTTGGGCATCATGGGTGCAATGGTGGCCACTCTGCTGCCCAACTGGAAGGTGAGCGCCGACGTGGGCTCCAACATCATCACGGCCATCTCCCAGATGCAGGGACTGTGGATGGACTGCACGTGGTACAGCACTGGAATGTTCAGCTGCACACTGAAGTACTCGGTGCTTTCGCTTCCTGCGTACTTGCAGACTGCGCGCACCACCATGGTGTTGTGCTGCGTGCTGGCGGCCATGGGCCTGTGCCTGGCGTCCCTGGGACTCAAGTGTACGCGGTGGGGAGGGGGACGGCGCTCCAAGCGGCATGCGGCCATCGCCAGCGGGGGCTGCTTTGTTACCGCCGGCTTTCTGTGTCTGGTGCCTGCTTCCTGGTTTACCAACGAGGTCATCACCAACTTCCTGGACTCCACTGTGCCCGAGAGCAATAAGTTTGAGCCCGGGGGTGCTGTGTACGTGGCCTTCGTTTCAGCCGGGTTCCTCCTAATGGGAGGCTCCATCTTCTGCATGTCCTGCTCGGGGAAGAGGCACGGCCCCCAGGACCTGGTCCTGCTACCCCCGCCTGACAAATTGCTATTGCAGCAACAGCAGCAACAGCTGCTCCAACAACAGGAGCTCCAGCATCAGTATTGCTCTCTCTCCCCGCTGGATAATAAGACGGGCTACAGCCTGCAGGACTACGTCTAGGAAATCAGTGTTGCGTATGCACCAGCTTACAGGAGAGGCAGAGGAGTGGACCATCGCAGCTTATGCTTTAAGAGTCGGCTGTGCTCCACACAGGTGGGGAAATGTGAGCTGCTCTTGTGTCTTGCTCCTGTCTTTCTTCTGTTTCGCAAGCACAAGCAGCGGGGGTAATCTCTGAGCAGCACCTTGGAACAAACAGACTGAAGGCGTCACGAGCACCGATGAGGTGCTGCACAATCCAAGGGAGCCGCAAACCAAATGCAAGACATCCTGCATCGGTAAATCACTGGGAGGGTTCCCGGGGGAGTGGATTAAGCAAATAGGAAGTTTTTCTCCCCCCGCCCCCTGCCAAAGGTTTGAATCAAAAGAAAAAAATAAGCAATCACTTAGCTGCTATTCACAATCTTTTGGAGCTCTCTCGATTGACAACAAATGCAGTAGGTGGATGTCCTTTCATATATGGCCATATTCTTGTTTGCTGTTCCAGTGACTTTGATGTCTTGCCGCTAAGCATGTCGTGTGGAGCCTGTCTTGTGTTTCAATACAGCGGGATGATCGGTAGAAGTCCGAGACATAGCCACACAATATGCCTGTGCCTGAAAAAGCTGTTAGCGTGTGGAAAGTGTTCAAAGCGGGGAAGGAGGAGGAGACGTGGGCTGCTGGGCAGGATTTGAGCAAATGCAGACAAACAGATGCCTGCTCTCCTCCTCTCGGCAGGTGGAAATGTGGTAGAGATGGAGAGAAACGAACGGCAGCTGAGATTGAATCCTTGAGGGGACCATGTGGGAGTGGGCCAGCTGTTATCATAGTGCCATCCTGAAAACACTCCGTCGCTAAGCTGCCAATTCTGGCCAAAGTAACCATTACTGACAAACACACACACACACACACACACACACACACACACACACACACACACACACACACGGATACCAGCGCCCCATGAGACAAGAACTCCCCCACTCCTCCATATATTAGTGTCTGTCCTTACAGAAACATTAACACACACGCTCATGCTGTTTTTTTTTTTTTGCATGTTTTCGCCCCTGCCGTCCTCCTCCATGCTACCATGGAAACCAAATTATTGTCTGAGGGCTGGTGCTTGTCAGCCAAGTGATTTGTTTGTGGTAGGACAGCATTTTTTTTTTTTAAGCTTTGTCCCATTGTTCCATAAGCTTCAATCAGAGCCTCTGTGTACACGACTTAGTCTAATCCCCTTTATTAGCCAGCGAGAAGAGGCAGCATCCATGTTAAATTGTTTAGAGCTTTTTTTTTTTTTTTTTTTTTGCCTGGATGCATTCAGAGGCTAGAGTGGTATAGAGGCAAACGTGAAGCCTCTCAAGTCATGGATGAATGGCTCTCTATGTGGCTGGCAGCCAAAAAAAATATTTGAATCATTCTCCATACGCGACCTGTTTTCCAAACGTGTCAGCAAGGGAGGCTTCACCTGCAGAAGGTCTCAAGAGTCTTAAATAGGAGCCGCTTGACGGCTATCACCATCGCCGCCGTCCCCACCACACACAAACGCACATTCTCTGTCCTGCATCCGTCACACGTCACATGGATGCGATGGCAGACGGGAAAACTCTGATACATGTTGAAAGCATGACCTAACACACACATACACCACGTTCGCTCACCTACTGAAATGTCAAGGGCACTGTTGCGCTTTGCTGTACCGGTGTGCGTGTACGCTTTTCTGTTATAATGTGGACAGGTTTTGGCAGTGATGCATTGGACCGCACAGTTCCTTCCTTCTCTCTCAAAAAAACGCTGAGCTTTCTGTGGAGCGAGCAGATGGCTAAGCCCAGCTCGCCACCTGCAGGCCGCTGCCGGCACACCACAAGGCATCACTATGGGAATCATCTCCAGCGCTGGCATCCCTCCGGGACCAGGTTTCTCCACCATCTTGTCCCAGCTTCTCCAACAGAGCTGGTCTGCTGACAATAACTCAGTGCCCTGGCACCAGAAGCAATGCAATAAACAAAAAAAATGCGAAGAATGTGCCATGTCATCAACTAATACTGACGCTTCAAGAATGTGCCAAATACTGTAGTCTCATGATGACATTTTATTACGACCCGGAATCCTTTATCTTTATTTTTCTAATGTGTTTTATGTACATGTATTGTACATTAGCGAATGTTTTATGGGTTTGTTCTGCCAGACTAAGTCTCAAGTCAAACAGATGCTTGTGTGCAGTCCAGGGCGGCTTTCGAGGGTTATTTCAAATCCTCTTTATTCCTGATTTCCCAAAGCACAGTGAGATTTACTAAAGCATGAGCGTGGGGAGGACACGAGTGTGGTATTTTCTAAACAAATGTATTCATTCAGGAGTATTCAAGGGTCTGTGGCAGCTGTACACAAGTATCTACGTGTCTGTTTATGCTGAGGGACTTGGAATTCCCTCAGCTTGTTCCAATAGAAGATACAATACCATGATCATACCATATCTTCTTTATAAGAAGAGAACTCCAATGCACCTTTTTCTGTCTTTCTATTTTGGGAGTAGTTTGTTTCAAATGGTTGAGCATTTCAAGCTCCCTGCACCAGTACAAACACAACGCAAGTGGCACTCTGAAAGGGGGAAAAAAAAAAAAAAGGGAATGACGTCTGACCACTCCAGCAGGGAGTTACGAGCTAGAGGTTCCTCTTTTGTGTGTGTGTGTCTGTGCAGCTTGATATCAGCACGCAATTTCATTAGCTTAGAAATGGCCCAAGTGCAAATTGGTCCTAAGAATTTGAAGTTACAAATGTGCATAGAAACTGTACCAATACATTGATTTATCGTTTTTGATAAACTGCAGCTTATTTTTGTGGATGCTTTAGCACTTCTTATTTTGCCAGAGCATAATTGTGATGATGAGCAGCTCACAAGTTCTGAAACAGTTGTCTCAATGTGCTTGTGCAAGTAGTTCTATTTTTTACTAATAAAACTATTTTATGAAAGCAAGACGCCTGCTGGGGTATGTTACGCATGTGGCTAATAAGGGTGAAGACGACGGCAGTTACCAGTCTTGCCAAATGTACAGATTGTAGGATGGTACGGACTGTGCTGAGTGCAGCCGGCCAGCCAGGCTGCTCTTACGCAGCACAGCACCCTGGGGAGCCACGGCATTGGTTTGACTGTATGCATCCATAATACATCGTCGTGTGCAAATGGCTTTTGAAAAAGAAAAAAAAAGAAAGGAAAAAAAAAAGAATTCTCCTCTGAATGTCACACCCGAGCTCACCGAGCATTTCCTCACGGATATGACAGCATGAATAATAACCTTCCATGGAATTAAAGGGAAGCGGAGAGATGAATTTTGGATTTGTCCTACGTAAAGAGGAAGGTGCTTTTTAAAGTAAAATTCATTACTGTATGAAAATATGTATATTTGAAAAACGCAATTTTGTGGTGGGTAGGGGATCAGATTAACAACATTTGTATTTCACATCCATCGATTTTCTGTATCACTTGTACTCAATGTGATCGTGGGTGAACTGGAGCCGATCCCAGATGACTTTGGGCTAAGACCCCGTGGACAATTTAAAGTTTTCAATGAACCCAACGTGCATTATTTTGCAAGTGGGAGGAAGCCAAACAACCTGTCAGGCACAGGTAGCACAAGCTAACTCCACAAAGCAAGACCTGAGATGAGAACTTGAGCCTAAAGCCAAGAGGTGCTAACTACTCCACCGCCATGCTGCCCGCACTTGGATTTAACAGTAAAAGAGGAGTTATGATCTTTTATGATCGTAAATGCAGGTTTACTTTGAGTGGCATTTAACACATCACGGGAATGAACACGGCAAGTAGAGTAAATTACCGTTACAGGGGACAGTTTTCCAGTGCCCTGGAATACTGTAGTCTATGTATTATTATTTTTCTTCTTCTTGTTCTCATTATTATTATTATCACTGGCAGTTTTACATGTGCTGTTGCAAAAAAAAAAAAAAAAAAAAAAAAACAGGGTTTGGCCCTTTATTACAATTTATCAGAGCTCGAGCAGCATCAAACTGAGAGGAAATTCCTGAAACAAACACAGAATATTTTCACATTCTCCCATTCCTTGCAGTTATGCAACAAGAGTGCAGCTCAAATAGCTGCTACTCTCGTGGGAAAAACACTAATAAGATCTGCTCCTCCGTGTATTTAACCTACATTTTCCATCAAAGACTCCCACCTTGAGTTGACGCAATGACAGATCTGAACATGAACTTAGACGAGGGGGTGGTGAACTGTCGACACTTCCAAGCAGGGGCCTCTCTTTTGAACGTAGCCCACGTCACATTCGTACATGTCTTTTTTTTTTTTTTTGGTCTTCTTCATCTACAAATAACCTTCTCGCGACTGTGGACAAACAGAAAGAGTAGGGCGTAATGAGGCGAACGCGGCACACTCCGCCAGTCATGCTGGCGAGGATGAGGGAGACATCCGTGTGTCCGAAATGCAGCGGAAATCTCCAGTAAATAGCCTATGGGTGTTACCGCTCTTTGTTTTAGACGGCTATTAAGCTTGCGAATGATCATACTCGAGATATAATGTTCCTATCGAGGCCGCGCCGGTGGGTGACCTTCCTTTGTTTGGAGGTACCCATAGTCCCGGTGCACATGCAAAGCTGGGGAACCAAGGCAGCGACCTTGACAGCCCAGGAAAATGCTGATGAAGGCAGTACAAGCTATGGGGTCGACAAAGGGACTACGTGGAAGAAAACAATACACTGTGACAGTTCAAAAGGAGACCGCTTAATATTTCAGCACGAGGCGACATGCGAGGAATTGGTAGCCGGGCGAGGCTAAATGTATTTTTGGAGAGCGGGGTGGATACCGTTATCTGTATGAAATATGTGAATAATAAATTCAAACGAATTATGCTCATCCATATCATTCAACGCAAATGTCTCTATTGATTTGTGGCTGTTTTCTGTGTTTCTCTCTGTCAGCCAATCAGTGGACAGCGTGTCAGGCTCCATTTCAGGTACTGACCCATTGGAGACTAACAAAAAGAGGCTAAAAAGTGGAACAGATATTTTGGTCCCATTTAAACGGTTATTTGTAACTGAACGGCAACTGAACTGTAGGATGTCTTCACTAGCAGCCATTCAGACTGTTTTAATTGAAAAACATTTGTTTGCTTCGGCCCTTGGTAGTGGTTTGTTTTGGTGAGGCTGCGAATCTCAGGGTCTCAAAATCTGTTTGGTTGTGAGGTGAAAGAGATCCAGCCTCAATTTGAACCAACTAGCAAATCATGTTTCTCCCATTGCGACATTATGGTAATATCACAGTTGTGTAGCTATGTAGTTATGAAGTCGTACGATAAGAGCACATCTGACGTTTAGACATTGCAAACTGCTGCATACGGCTGGAAGAG